TGGTCGCATCCGGATCCTTCTTGGCCTCAGCAGCCTTCGAATTCTCCTCACCACCATCCAGCTTTCGCTTTTTGGCTTCCCTCTCCCCAGGCAACTCTGTGGCTACTTTAAGGCTAGCCAGAATCTTCAAAGACCCAGGGCTTGTGAGGCCACCCAGAGTCTTGAGTGTCTCTTTTGGCCCAATCACAACGCCACCATAGCTGAAAATCACATCCCGCTCTAGCACCTCCTGGTGCAAGCACCATGCTCTGAACATGTTTCCCATTGGCGTTTTTGCTTTCATCATCATGTTGACCACGTTCTCCTTGCCACCCACTTGCTGCGCGTGGACTTCCACTGTATAGGTCACATCCTCTTCTAGATCCACCTTTGGAGTTGCTCCTCCATTTGAACCTGGTGTCTGGCTTGGTGTCAATGCTGCCTCCGATGTTGCTTTGTCTGTGGAAACCATCTCAATCTCTTGCTCGTCTTCGTCATCCTCAAAAGCACCAGACGCGTCCTTGCGTTTCTTATCCTTCTTCTCTTTCTTCTCTTTCTTGTCCTTCTTGTCTTTCTTTTTTCCTTGCAGGCGGTGAAAGTGATGACCCATACCCAAGCAAACATGCACAACATGAGCCGAGCCTTATGTTGTTTTCTTTGTCGTCCGTCTTGTTCTTCTTTACTTTTGGGTCCTGTTGCAACAAAGAGATGCTTGTTCAGTTCAGCTGCATTAGAATTAGGCTCCTCATCCTGAGGCTCGTGTTTGCCCTGAAGTGCCTCGTCACCTGGCAAATTACACTTGGAAAAGACACGTGGCCAATTTATTTCACAGTTGAAGCACAAGTTCATTTCTCATTAATGCAATCTGCATTTTGCTCTGTGTTGCGCAGGCGTGTATATGCATATATGTTGTATAGTTCTTTTCTTCGTGGCAAACAGTTGACTAATGGCTGGCAACTCTCTCCTTTACAAACAAATCTTTAAATTTTGTTTAACCATTTCTCTTGGTTACCTTTACCAAAACAATTTGATTTCTTGTTCACTCTCCTCTCGGCTTCCATATCCTCTTCACCCCTTTCTCTAGACCAGCTTTTCCCTTTCCTCTCAAATTCCTCTCCTCTGGGCACCTTTCTGTAGGCCCTTTTGCTCTCATTCCTTTTCTTTTTCCCCTTCCGGCGACCATTTTGTGCTGCTGGAGCCCAAAAAGCGTACGCTTTTTGCCTTTCTCCTCAATTATTCCCTTTCTCTAGGACCAATTTGCTCTCATTCCTTTTCTTTTTGCCCTTCCGGGTGCAATTTTGTTCGACGGAACCCAAAAAGCGTACGCTTTTTGCCTTTCTCCTCATGGATTCCCTTTCTCTAGGACCAATTTGCTCTCATTCCTTTTCTTTTTCCCCTTCCGGCTACCATTTTGTGCTGCTGGAGCCCAAAAAGCGTACGCTTTTTGCCTTTCTCCTCAATTATTCCCTTTCTCTAGGACCAATTTGCTCTCGTTCCTTTTCTTTTTTCCTTTCCGGGTGCAATTTTACTCGACGGAACCCAAAAAGCGTACGCTTTTTGCCTTTCTTCTCAAATTATTCCCTTTCTCTGGGCCAATTTGCTCTCATTCCTGTTCTTTTTCCCCTTCCGGCTGCCATTTGGTGCTGCCGGAAACCAAAAGCGTACGCTTTTTGCCTTTCTCCTCAAATTATTCCCTTTCTCTGGACAAATTTGCTCTCATTCCTTTTCTTTTTCCCCTTCCGGCGACCATTTTGGGTTGCTGGAGCCCAAAAAGCGTACGCTTTTTGCCTTTCTCCTCAATTAT